GGTTTAATTTAGTGTACTGGGAGAACGTTCCTAATATTGAGTCCAAATGGTGTGGTTGTTTTAAGTAAAAGTTCCCAGTGATTCTCTTTATCTTTGCGATTTTTGTCGCTCCAACTGGCATTATGGTCAATTGCAATCACTTTCAAATTTGAAATTGAATGACCGGCTAAATTGAAATATTCGGCTACTGGTTGATCAAGCTTAATTAGATGTTCTGATAGCTGATCTATGCTGTGTCATTCTCATACGGAGAGTGTTTTTTGTTTCTCCGACATATTGTTTACCACAAATATTACAATATATGAGATAAATGACATTTTTGGTGAGGCAATTAATTGATTGCCTTATCCGAAATATGTGGTTTGTTTGGTTGCTCTTGAATGATTGTGTAGAATCAAGCAAGGACCCCTGTCAGAGTTAGGCCTGACCAAGGGGCCTAGGCCCAGGTGTAGTTTGCATACCTAGGGCCTATCCTCTATCTCTCGAATCCGGGTCGATTTGGATAGTGCATTAAGATAGATAGGGTCAAGCCAGCTCCACCAATCAATACCTTGAATTTATAATGTAAACTCGATTCGACTGGTTCGACTGGTTCGACTGGTTCATTTCGTTGACTACTTTCGTTGAAAACTGGATGAAAACATTTCTTTTACAAAAAATCCATACTGTCACAAGCCGAAGCAGCCCTGATTACGCAGCGTGTATCGAGGTAACTATGCAGCCATTTTGTTTTGTCGAGTATTTACAAGTTTTCTATTCGACTGCTCGTCTTCGTAAGTGGGATTTCACTACTGTGGAGGGGGTCTCTCAGATCATTTCGGCCGCCGCTCATTTCGGCCGCCAGATTTTTAACAATAGAAAGTATGGCGCGCCAATAGATTTCCGTTGGTAGTGTGGTTGTTGCAGGATGCGGAAGCGTAGGGAAATAATAATCTAGCCGTTTTTTTTATTTAACTTTCCGTCTGTATAGGCATAGGCCTAGGCCTACATATTTGTCTATGTAATGCATGCTATAGAAATATGCCTACGTGTTTTTCATTAGGTATATATATTTATTTTTGTGGTTAATAGAATATAAATAACGCCTAATGATACGGTAATTATTCACATTTTATACTAGGCCTACTGTATTAGTAGCAAGAAGGCCTAGGCCTAGTTGTAGTTGATTATCTATATTAATACTGATGATAGTCGTACAGTAATGAGTTGTGTGTCACTATACTTAATGTAATTTTGTACTTTTTTTATCTTTGGAATGTTATACACGCATGTTCGTTGTTATGAATTATTGTAACAATTATGAGTGCAGAAACTGATTTAATCATGATAATGATTTTAATTTGTTCTTTACAGGTAGACGATGAGAGAAAATAAATTCTGTCTAAAACTAGTTTGATTAATGGTTAATTATATGTTTTGTATTGTTATAACTATATACGTTTTCGTGATATTTATTATGGCGGTATGATATGTATTGTAAATTGAAACACCTCACTACAAGACTCGCAAAAAATAGCAAAACTTAAACTGGTATAGTCTTCTTTTATTGATACTAAAGTTGTAAAAATCACTGTAAATATTTAACTATTTACTGAAACTTAATAAATACAAAAATAAGCTAATTTACATAAATATCATATAGGAACAAAATATCAAATATTATAAGGAATTTTGTATGTATAATAATATTTCAATCATTTCATTTATATATTCCAAGTCCAATCTTATATGACAACAATTTATGGGTGTTGTCTTCGGTATACGGACATAAACCACCCAGGACATAAACCACCCAGGACATAAACCACCCAATTGGAATATACCATTGTTAAAGTGGGTGGGCAACAGGGTGAACAATGTTGGGTGGTCTTGCTTTTATCTA